CCCACATCCCCCATGTCCTCCCTGTGACCCTCTCCATCCACCATGATTCCCAATGTCCCCCTATTTCCTCCACGACCCCTCCATCCCCTGCATGTTCCCCATGGCCCCCTGTTTCTCCTCCACCCCCCATAATCCCCTTTGTCTCCCCAAGTCCCTCATGACCACTTCTGTGCCCCCATCCCCGCTTGGCTGTCAGCCCACAGGTTTCCTCTCCTGCACCGTCCCCCCACTTGCCTCGTGTTCACGTCTGTTCTGTTCCACCTCAGCCCCCAGGATCTCTGACATCCTGAACACGGTGAGGAGGGGTTCAGGGACCCCAGAAGCCCAGGGCCCCCCACTCTGCCCGTCTCCAGCTCTCCCAGGTCCCCCACCCACCCCATGTAAGTAACACCTTGAGTGGCCCTGCTGCTGTTCCCTGGGGCTCTCAGGGTGTCAAGACCCAGGCTGCAGTGTGCTCTGGGAAGGGCACAGCTGGGGAGCACAGAGAGGGTACAGGGATTCCACACGAGGTGACTTTGGCTTCGGAAAACAGAGTTCGTGGCTAAAAACAGGGATGTGACATCTGTGTGTCAGAAAAGAACCTGAAAACGAGTTCAGGGTAATCCCGGCCGAGCCTCCCGTGCGGGTTCCCTACACGGCAGCGAGGTGCTTAGAAGCTAGAAGGACCCAGCCAGTGAGGGCGCCACTGGGGTCCTGCTGGCATCCATCTGTCTGGCCAGGGTCCAGGGTAGAAGGGCAGCTCCGGGTGGAGGTTCTCAGAGGCAAGGGGAGATCTGGCCCCTGCTGGGAGGGGCTGGAAGGGGTGGCAGCTGAGGCCTCTGGGGGCTGGGGTTGCCCCCCCCAGGCAGGGAGGAGCCAGGCTGCTCCAGCCCATCTAGCCCATCTGCCGACTGCTCGCCAGTATCACTTACAGGGATGGATGACACCCCAGGGCTGCAGCCACCCCCACCTCCAGGGAGATTCTGGGCTCTCAGAGGAGAGGCTGCTGGGCCGGGGGCCAAGCATGGCGGGGGAGTGGCTGGGTGAGTGCTGACCCCTGCCCACCCCATGCAGGCCAAGCGGGTGGGAGGCTGTGTCAGGGCAGAGGGGAGCTGAGCTGAGCTGAGCTGTGGGAGCCGTGGGGGAGGGCTGGAAAGGGGGTCTGTGGCCTGCAGGCTAAAGGCACATGGATCCACCCTGGTGGCCGGAAAGGAGGACCGGAGTGGCCTCTGGGGGGCCAAGGACCTGCCAAGAGGACGAATTGCTTGGCTTGAGGGGTAAGGGCCAGTGTGTGGGCCACCGGACGTCCAACTTGGCTGAGGGGATTGGAAGCGAGCTGTGGTGGTGACACTGAGGTGGGCACACAGGGGACTCTGTGGGGCGGTCAGAACTCCATTCTTGCAGCGTTTTACCTGAGTTCAGAGGCTCCATCTCCCAGACCCGAACCCTCACCTGAGGCTTGGAGACCCGGAGGGGTGCTCCCAAGGGGTCCACCTGCATGGACGGTCCCAAGGTTGTGACCCCCACCTTGGGGTCGGTCCAGCAGCCTGTGTGGGGCTGCAGCACAGCTCTGCCTGTTTAAGAGTCTACCCTGAGCTTGACAAAGAGGTGGGGGCCACAGAAAGGGCCACGAGCAGGATTAAATAGAAAGGGACAGGGTCTGGATCCGGCAGGGGCCACCCCAGCCGCCTCCCTCAGGGAACAGGGTCTTTGCTCCTGAATGTGCCCCACTGGAGTCCCTGGCATCCCAGCAACTTGCATGTGTGGGGAGGGGGGTCCCCAGGTGACAGAATGAGGTGGGGCAGCCTGGGGAAGGGACTGTCTGGGGCTGAGATCTGCTCTCAGTGGGTCTGAGCGGATGTGTGCCAGACCTGGCGCCCCTCTCCAACTTGGGGACCAGGGTTTGCCTGTCCACCACCGAGGCCTAGGCACAAGGGGTGGTCCTGGGCAGGCCGTGGGCCCCTCCTTTCTCGAGCTTGCACCGCCAGCTGCCTCAGTGTGTAATGGGGTCGGTGCTCACTGGCCCAAGCCGTGTTCATCATCGGGGATTACACACAATCCGCCTGATCCTTGCAGCTGTCTGCCTGGGATGGCTGGAGGGCCCCTAGTGCCTCAACAGACGCCAAGGCACAGGGCTTGGTGCCAGCAAGGAGTCACCGGGGTCCCCCAGGGCCCTCTGCCAATGCCCAGAGCATCAGCCCCTCCTGAGCTGGGCTGTGTTCGTGGAGCGGGGCTGCTGCTTTCCCCCAACTTGAGGTTTCAAGATTTTTGCTGCGAGCTCAGGAATGTCCTTCTGTTTACTGAGTACTTTCTCTTTACACTAATGTCCATTTTAAATTACAGTTTGTTTAAAAACACTCAATATTTCGTCTTTAAGTGGAAGACTGGATTCACTTACAGTACAGGGTGGCTATAAAATCAAAGTGCGCTGGAAACAAAACAGGAAAAATGTCACTTGGCTCCAGCTGCACGGCTGTTGCCCAGGGCCCTGTGTGTGTGTGTGG